TTAGCTTTGAATGCTTGTGGTGATGCTAAAGGGGTTCTTTGGCTTATTGTTGCAGTTTATTTTGAAACCTATGGATGTCAAATGAATGTGAATGACACAGAGATAGCCTGGTCCATACTGCAGAAGAAGGGCTATCAGCGCACAGCTCATCTAAGCGAGGTACAGCTGACTTCTGGTTTTATTTATGATTCTAGCAGAAGTAATTTTAATGCAGTTTGTTTAAGATGTGCGTGTACTTGCAGGCAGATGTTGTTCTTCTGGTAACGTGCTCTGTAAGGTAGGAGCAAAGATCATACTCATGATAAGTTTTGAAATCTAGTGCTAGGTGATGGCAGCTTTGGCAGTTTTGCAACCTAATCTCTTTTCTTAACAGAGAAAAGGCTGAGCAAACAATATGGAATAGACTGCAACAACTAACAGCTATGAAGAGGAAACGATTAAAGACCCACACACCAATGAAAATTGGAATTTTAGGTGAGTAAGCTCTCATGCACTCAGATGATGGAGGTCACATTAAAGGTACGTTCATGGGTGTGTTTGTCTCAGGCTGCATGGCGGAAAGGCTGAAGATGGAGCTTCTGGAGCGAGAGAAGCTCGTAGATGTCCTCGCTGGTCCAGATGCATACCGGGACCTTCCGCGTCTCTTGGCTGTATCTGATGGAGGTCAGCAGGCGTGCAATGTGCTGCTCTCTTTAGAGGAGACCTATGCTGACGTCATGCCCGTCCACCACGCGCCTCGGGGGCACAGTGCTTTTGTGTATGTTGTTTATCAAATGGTTATCCGCCTTTTCCTGTAACAACGCATCTTCACACTGAATCTGCTGATGGTTTTGTGTACCGGCAGGTCCATCATGCGAGGCTGTGACAACATGTGCAGTTACTGCATTGTTCCCTTCACTCGAGGGAGAGAGAGGAGTCGACCCGTCCGCTCTATCCTGGAGGAAGTTCGTATGCTCTCTGATCAGGTGAGCTGTAACTTCAACATTAAGGTTGGTTGGAAAAACTCCTGCATTTGTAACCACGCAAACACAGAATGGGAAAAAACCAAAAAAGAAAGTGACTTTGTGTTTGTGTTTTATGATAAATGCAAAATCTATGCAACAATAATTTAACATGACTCATGAAACAAACTCAATTCAGTTTTACTTATATAGCACCAAATCATGAGAAGAGTTGCCTCCAAGCACTTTATGTGGTAAGCAAAAGCCCAGACAATAAAACAACACCCCATGAGCACGCACTTGGCAACAGTGGGAAGGAAAAACTCCCTTTTAAACAAGAAGAAACCTCCAGCAGAACCAGGAAGCGACAGCTATCTGCTGTAACTGGTTGGGGTCGAGGGGAGACAAGACTGAAAACATATGCCATGTTCCTTTCAATAAAGGTTGAAACTATTGATTAAGACCATAATCTCATCATGAAAGTGTTTATTGAGGTCATGCAATAAGGAAGTCGATGAAATTCTGTACAACCAGTCATTTTTTGATAATAACCCATAAATCATAGACCTCCTGCTATTGTAAAAATGGTTGTAGCTTCTAAGTCTGAAAAATGAAGTTTATGAAAAAGTACATGAAACCTTTAATTCTTATTATGGCCAGCAGGGGGCAACAATGCCTCTTATC